ATCAAGCTGTTTCTTTAAAGAAGCCAGGGTATCGCCTCCAACAACATGGCCGGACAGCTTGTTCCACACTCCCCCCACCCTTTGTGTAAAGAAGTGTCTCCTATTCTCAATTTTAAAAGCACTTCCATATACAGGAGTAAACCGGAGCCGATGGAGAGCACCTCCAGTGTGGTATCAAGGTGCCACAGAAGAATGGCTGTAGACAGCAGAATAGAACAGACAACCCTCATACATGAGCAACAGACAATCGTCCCCTCTCTCACCTACAGACTCGTCTGCAGCCAGGATCCCTTTCCCTGTTGCCACAATCCTCTGAGCAATAGAGGAGAGCTCCTTCTTCTGCTCCGGAGTCAGATAGGTGAACTGGTGAGTCATCCTGCCACAGAGAGAGAGGGGTTAATTCATTGCAGACAGACTAACTGACTGAACACTACAGTACCTTACCACTGGTTTATTGTGGTCAGTGTGGTTATTAAATTTGGTCTGTGTTTGCACAGTGCGACAGCTGCAGTCCAGAGGGAAAACCACCTACTGGTCCATCCACACCATTGATAGGAGATTCTGAGACCTGACCAAATGAAGCTCTTGGCTTGTAACACTGCAGCCAGGCTCATGTTGACACGCTCCGTGGCGGGTGCCGGAGCAGCCCCCTTGCGAGGCTCAGGGGCGGGCGGGCAGGCACCAGAGCAGCCCCCTTGCGAGGCTCAGGGGCCCCCAGCTGGCAGATCCTGAGGCTCTAGTCAGGCAGTTGTGCAATGGGAGTCTCAGTGCTGTTGCTCAGTCATGCTTGCAGGCTAAAGAGCAGCCCTCAGGAGCTCCAGCACACAAACAATGCTGTCAGTTCAGTTCTCCAGCCTCCTCCCTCTCCCCACCCCCTCAGTCAATATTTGCCTGGTTTCCTCTGCTGAACTTCAGTCTGGGGGCTGACCGTGACCGTGAGGTGGGGGCAGAGTGCCAGTGCTTGTGACCCTGCGCGTACTCGACACCAGTGGGTGCGCCCGTGTCTCTGCAGGGGGGCTGGCGTTTCCACAGGTCCCCCGCTCCACGGCCGGTCACAACGCGTTTCAGAGCCTTTAAAAAAAGTCTCAGAACGCTTTACGAGACGTAAAGACGACACGACAAATGAAAAAAAAAAAGTCAAAACGACGTAAAATCGAGATGAAACCTCTTTGAACTCAATGACAAAGTACAGTTTCTGCACCCCCGTGAACGTCTTCACGTGCTCGGTGCCGGTGCAGCTCCAGAACCAGGCCAGTTCGGGGCGGGTACCACGCGCGCGCCACCCCGAGCCCGCAGCCCCGCGCAAAAACAGCAGCAATATTGTTTAGCTTCATAACAGCTTCTCTGTGTTCAGCTGTAATACAGTGGGCAGTAAATCGCGCTAGAGCAGCAGAAGTCGTGAGCCCCGTCTCCTGTCTGAGCTCTGGTCGGTCTTCTCATCCCCGCTCGGACCAAAGCTCGGAGTTCAGCAGCCCGGCCCGGCGTGATCCGCCCTCCAGTTCCCGCTTCCTCCCCACTGGGCCTGTCCTGCCCGCCCACCTCTCACCCCCCCCGGCCTCTGTTCGGCTCCAGGAGTCCAGTCCAGAGGACTCCCGTGGGACACAGCTCCTGAAACAGCTCTGCGCGCTCAAACCCCAGCTGCCGCGCGCACAGGTGTTCCAGCTCGGTTGCGTTTAGTGAACAAACGTTTACAGCTGCAGCAGCTGCAGTGAAGCTACCTTGCACAGATACCTCACCTTGCAAACGAGGCGTTAAAGAATCATTCTGAACTGCACGGACTCTACCTGTGACCCTCTCCCCAGGCGGTCTGTCCCTCCTGGGGACTCACACTGACCCCCCCTGACAGTGCCATTAACAACTACAGAGAAACTCACTTGAGCTGGGGGGGGGTGATCGCAGATCGTGACTGCAGAAGAAGACGGAGTCTCGAGTCCCTCCACACGCTGTACCTGCGAGGCGAACGGAGTGCAAGAGCGCTTTCAGGTCGCAGTATTTAAAGTGCCGCTTTGTGGATCAAATCGATTCGTGACGTGGCCCGTCGTGACGCCAACCAAGAGGGCGTGGTTCTGTGTTGACGGGGCGGGGCTAGGGGGCGTTGGCGGGCGGTCTGAGGACTTCGCGATGCGATTGGTCGAAAGGGGAGAAGTGGGCGTGGCTGCTGGTGGTGGGCTTGTTGTGTTCGCCGTTTGTTCCTGGTTGAGTCCCGGTGTGTGCTGGGGAATGCGTACTGAGTGTTGTTTTGGTGGCGCTGTGCACGTCCCGTGTGTGTATTACTTTGTAATGCTTAGGTCAGTGCTTTCCATCTCTGATCCCTGAGAGACAAGAAGAGGACTTTATCCCTGAAATCAGTCTACGAGGTTCCACAGTGGGAGGAAGAACTCATGCTCCTGGTCTAATTAACTCAGGAAGAGGACTTTATACCTGACAACGGTACATGAGGTTCCATACTATAGTCCCAGTACAGGAGAACAGTCCAGTTACAATAGGAGCTACAATCCAGTACAGTATAACAGTCCTGTTACAATAGGAGCTACAGT